TTGGTTCCAACATGAATGGATTGTATTAAGATTTGAATTAGAGAGGTGAATCTCATGTCCTGACTTAGGATACTACCAACTGAAAAAATATCAAAGAAGAAAATGGTTTCAATTAAGAAAGAAAAGCCATTAATTGTGGATCTGTGAGCAGTCTATGTACCTAGAAACCTACTGCTTTCTGGTTAGTCATAGCACAATTACAGAATCTAAACTTTTCCGGAGCAAATAAAGAGATAGTCCCGTGAATTAAGTTAAACTGCAATAATGAATAATGATATAAGCAAGAAATAGGGTTACCAGAAATGGAAATCGAAGAGTTATTATGAGAGTATTACTCAGACCTTGGGAGTTTCAACTATGAAATGAGTGAAAATAAATTTATAAAAATAAGGATTATTATGTAGAGGTTGTGGAAAAATTAAGATATTTTGATAATTAAAATGTTAAAAATAATAATAATAAGACTTAAATATCATTAATGAGTAATTTTTAAAATGTAATTTTTTATCCTAAATTACACAATGAACATATACTCTTTCTTATTATTTAATTCACTTCATTTATATTTTATAAAATTTAAATTCAAAATATATTACTTTCATTAAGAAAAGACTATCATATATTAAACTACATAAATAGTTAGGGATGACTTCAAATTTGTTTGGAACTTAGAACCCATGTGAACCCCTCTTTTTATCTAATGATAAATCTGTTTGGTAACTTTTGGACTTATATATGTTGTTGTTATCCACCCACCTACAAACTGTGGAATCCAAATTCTCAACCAGCACGAAACTTCATTTGTCGTTCTATTGCACTCATATAACCATTTTGGAACAGTTTGTACGCATCATATTAACTCTCTTCTTTTATCATATCAAATGCACGTATATATACTCGTCCCATCAACGTCTTAAAAAAAAATCATTTTTCTCTCAAATTGTATACTGTTTAAAAAAAAAATACACATATATACTTGCCTTAACTTTCACCTTAAATTAAAATTTTCCATTAATGCCATTTACTTTGTGCAATAAATTTACTACATTATAGTCTATGACACTAAATTGTAAAGGAATCATTTTAGGACGTCCACTTTTTCATGGAGAAGTAATAGTTTAGTAAAAAGGAAAAAGGAAAGAGAAGATGATTCTCCACACTAACTTTTGGAAAGATGTCTTATTGATTGAGGAGGTTGCCAACAGTTGGATGATCAAATTCTATTCTACCTAATTGATTGTGGTGAAAGAGAAATGGATAGGCTTTGAATCCCAGGAAAATTAGTTGGTTAGCTCAACCAAAGATGCCTCGGAAAAGTTAGCCTTCGTATAATATCACAATCACTGCCTTAAAATTAGAATTCTATGCACTAAGCACAATCATAATCATCTTCTCTACTAATTATAATTTAGAGAACCCATTGACCCCTTTTTCTTTTTCTTTTTGTTTTTTTTTTTATTAGTGATGACTACTGTTACTATTATTACTATTATTATATAATATGAGATAGTTATTGTTTTTTTTTTTTAAACTTCTTTTTACTTTTCTTAACATGTAAATTTAAGGTCTTTATTATATAGATTTTCAAGTTTTAAAACATTGATTGTTAAATTAGTATATTGACCACCCATGGACCTAAAAATCATAAAATTGTTAAATTTTAAGTTACGATGTAGGATATTTGTAGATAGGTCTTGCTCTTTAAATGCAAAGTTGTTGTGAAGATATATAGGCACACCCTTTGTAATGCGACATGGATTTGCCCCCAGAAAAGGAACTTTGCTTCTTATGGTTAAAGCAATTAAAAGGACACAACAACATCTGACAACTCGAGAAAAAACTCACGTTAGAAATATGTAAAAGCGATCGTGGTGATAAATGTATAAAGTGGTTACCAAAAATTAATTTGAAAAATGGTGTAACAAACAAGCTAGAAAAATATGAAGGAACATGCAATGTGCTGATTTATACAATTCACTTGTTGGGTGTAATCTTGGTTGCTCCCCTTCCAGACAGATGTAAGTCAGAGTAATTTTTAATTGGGTCTAAGATAATCCGACCTTTTCCTATCTAATTATGTTAGGGAAACTGGGAAAGGATCTTGCAGAATCCTTTTTACATCTTAAGAAAGAGGGGGAATAGTTTAGGACAAAAGAACGGTTCAACCACTTCATATTTGCATATTTTCTCTACCTTAACTTCTAGAAACTGCCATTCTCTTCCAAGAACACAGGAAAATCCGGTATCTATTAAACGTCGATTGTAGTTTTTCTTTGTTACAAATGGAAGAAAAAAAGTTTACATATCAACAAAAACACAATCGAATTAGTATTTATACATCTACAAGACGAAAAAAGAAGACATTAAGAAATGTGGGGAGTTGATAGATACTGGGGGTTTGGGGCCGATGATCAATCCATATGCCATTTGACCAAGAGACAGAGCACATATAACAAGCTTTGTCCTAAGTGGGTTACAATGTGCAAGACAGTTCACATGAGGAGGCCGAAATCCTGACCAAAACCATTGAATTGCTCCATTGTCCTTCGTATTCATTTCCATGCGTACTTATTTTCCTTCCAAGGAGACACTCCCACATGCACAACTTGAAGATGAAGAAAATAAAACAGTTTCAGCATGGCGTTTACTTATTTCTTCTGCAGAGTAATAATAAATTAAATTATAGCCGTGTCATCACCGCAAGAACATTTTCTCATTGAAACGTGTCGGTCTGCGCTTGGACCGATTTGTGTGATCCTAAATCCATAGATCTTCTCAGGTTTCCTTGTCAATGTTCCTTGGACCCTTACATTCTATCTTTAAGATAGCCAAACTAATGAATCCACGCGCTCTCTAATCTCTATACTGTACCAAATCAATGAAA